CATCTTAACATGTAGAAACTGACACAGTAAACCTTGTCAAAGAACTTAAGAAATTTAAATTGGGTATTCCACCTGTAGATATTTTCTAACCTTTGTACATGTATTTTATCCATTACTGATGATAGAGTCAGTTAGTCCAAGCAGTAGTTTTGACTTGATCAGAAAGTGTGAGAAGCCACTTTAGTAATAAAGACCTTTCATTAGCTGTCAGATTCATTACAATGAGAACCACTTGTAGACACACAGGGAAAGTTATTCACAAATCCACTATTAAACGACCAAATCATATTGTCCTTGAATTTGCTGTTAAAGAGATCTCAACTGAGTGTCCGTGTCGAAACAGCTGCCTAATGCACCATGGAAAGTGTCTCCACTCAAAACAGATCAAGGCCTTTATACCAGTCGGAACCTTCACAAGTACCAGACAAATAACATGAAAGTAAGACAGGGGATTTTAGCCTTACAAATCCAATTTGGGATATAGTTTTCATGGCCGATAACTTGGATTGAGGGATTTTTTTCTCTTGGTTTTTTTCAAAGCTGATATTGGTCCACTTATTGGGACTGATATAAATTCCAATTAACAATAATTAGTTTAAAAGTAAATATTTTTTTTTTTTAGAAATAAACATGTAATTAACATTATGAACATGCTTCATGATTCCATATGTAGAACTACTTTCCCTATATTTCAGAGTTGACAGGTCGACTGTTAAATTCATGTCAAATCTATTTCTGCATTTTACACCCAAGTACTTACCAATTAGTGTGAATGTGAATGAAGGAGTGAAAATTTATCTTACTTGCTCTGATACAAACAGGTTTGGTGGTATCAATTTACTGGTAGGAAACAGCTTGATAAAGAAAGTATGAATGATGAACAGGATGAGTAAATGATTAGAAATCAGATAAGATTAAAAGTTTAAACTTCATGCTTATCACAACCAATCGGCTAATAAGCCGGCTACATCTTACAGCAATCGCCCGACAATCTGGTGTTTATCGCTGAAATAATACTGGGAGAAACTTGTAGTTGGGACATGAGTAGTAAGCATGTTTATACCAATAAAACATTATTATATTACAAAAATAATAAAGTGGTCTGCCCATGTTGATCGGAACTCATGGACATCTAACTGTATGTTTAGATCTAATTTTTCAAAAATGAAAATACTGTCATACATTTAAAAGAAAGAAATTAATAAAACATTTTTTATTTCTGTTAAATCAGTAAAATATTTTAAGAAGGACATAAAAATTCCAACAACATGTATAAAACCATTATTTATTTTTTTTCTTTTTATAAAACCCTAAAATGACAAACTCTCTCTCCTATGAGGGCTACAATGACTGATGTCTCCTTTACGGAGCAACAATCTTGCAGCTTGTTACTATTAAGTTGGACACAAGTGACTGTATCATATTGATGGGAACATGCACGCTATCTTTAGAGCAGCAAGGGTCTTTTTTCTTCAAACTCACAACAAAAGGTGTGTATTACAACTAGCGACAGAAATATTTAAACCATTACTTTTATTGTCGTCATCATAATGTACAAGTCCATTCTAGTGAGATTTTAAACAAAACTGTTACAACTAAACTGTAAGACCTATCCGATTCCTGGCAACTTTAGATATTAAATAATACAGTAAAGATCTAACACAAAAGAATAAGCAAGTCTGCTTGGCGAAAGGTTTAGACGTGTATAACTGTATTTCATTTGTAATTCTAAATCTCGGGTGTTATTTTACTGTTTATACAGAGAATTTCATTACATACATTATTGTTTCGGTAACAATGGTAAAAGACACGAGTCCCCGAGAATAAGATAACTAAACGCCATTGTTGAAGGCAAACACATTGTTACCTTCGCGATGGTTTCTAATTTGCATTTGGATAATCAAGTGAAATCTGTATTTAAGGTTAAAATGTCTTGCGGGCTTTTATTTCCATTAACAAAATATTTACGATAACAGATTTATTTTATTGCTTCGCTTTAATGAAAATTCCGCCGGCAGTATTTTTTGGAAGTTTTCATGCTGATTAAGTTCGGGCATAATACCGATAGTTTTCTTGATTATATACATATATACATGTTAAAAAGTTGAGTGAAACTTCAAGATCAGACTTGAAAACTCATGAAATCTATTAAATTGTTATCTGATGATTTTCCTGAACCAGTTTCTCGCTTTAAAAACACAAATATGTAATTTTTGTAATTGAAACTGTGACAAAGTGTTTTAAAATACTCCAGAAGTAACACCACAAACTCATCGACTCTCTTTAAAATCAATGACTTACAAAAGACTAATAATTACTGAATCATTTACCCATAATGATTAATACACTTTAGAAGTCTGTTCTTATTTGAAGTCTTCGTGAGCCCTTACTCAGCTTTTACAGGCGACATATTCTCTTCGTTAAATCATCAAAATGCTTATTGAACCCAAATAAATATTATCATTCAAGCTTGTATTTGATATTGACTTGTGATTATGAACTGAACTCAAAACAGAAAGTAAAAGATTTCTGATCACAACTTTCAGGCAATATTGGTGTTCAAACTGATATGTTTCATCGGAACAATTGTATGATTATACTCGGTGAATAGACGCTGTTGTTCACTTTTGAAATGCATCATATACTGTGTGTTTCAATCTTTAAAAGTTATATTTATGAAAAAAAAAATTTTTGGACATAATTTCTATCTAAACAGAGATGACGGTTGTAAAAGGAATCTGTATCAGTCATGTTTTCTTTCAAAACAGAAGTTCTGAGGCTACTTTTCTGTGATATGTCGGTGTTGAGTGCGTCCTGACTGAATTCATCCTAGGGTCACTGTGAAGATGAAACACCTGCTTCTTCACATGTTTCTCACAAGATTTTGGTTTCAATCACTGTGACCCCACCTATCAAAATCAAACTTGAGTTGTCTAAGTTCATGTTTGAATTCACCAACCTGCTTGTGCATTCAACTCTTCACAAAAAAAAGCAAAATTTCAACAAGTTCATTTTCATGTTAAGACGATTTTTTTTCACCAATAAAACAGAATTAAATGTCAACTGATACCCAGCCATGTAGTCAAGGGCTGTACGACAATGAAAGTAAGACAGATATATTCTGTCGAACTCCCTAAATTACCACCGTAGGGGACTTGACCATGACAAATACAGTGACCCCAGCTTTGTGAACTCGACACCCTGCCACTCTCAAAATGAAAGTACCTCTAAAATGGTTAAATTGTTAAACATCATTATAAGTATTTATCTTCAATTCACACAATAATAGAAAGAAAACAAGCATGAAAAATGCATAATTCCTCCTTTTTGAAAAACTGTATACATTTATGAGAAGACTGGTTTAGTGCTGGGATAATTATACAGGTATCTAAAGTCACTTGTGGTGTGGTGTTGCGTAAAATTAACCTAATAACTATTTCTTTTGAAACACGTCCTGATTTCTTTAAAGGGAAAGGAGAGGCGTGTTGAAAGGCTAAACGATGAGAAATTACGCCAATGTCCTTGTACCAGTTTGTAAGAAACAGGAAAAAGAACGTTTTAATAAAGTGCTTAATATATGTTTAAATAAGCCTGGTGGCATATATTATACCGATTTTTAAAAGGTGAAAGTAAATCGTAGTTAAAACAGAAACAAATATCAGCTAGTGGTATTGGTTATAACATGTCCACATTTATATTTGTCACTTTTGAGTTGTGTTTTCTGATTCTAGAGACAGGAAAGTGTCAAGAGCTTTGAACTTCACGTAACCACATCAAAAGTAATATCAAGTTCTACATGACGAAAAAAGAACTTTTCTAATTACAGATAATAAGCAATTCAATCTTTATCATCCCAATTTTGCAGAAAAAAAAAAGCAATTAAGAGATAATTTTTTTTTACCAGTTGTGAAAGGTGAATATCATTCATTAACACCGATTAATACTACATAAGCAGACTAAATCCAGCGTGTTACAGGTTTTTAAAATGCACTTTTCGTCCGATCACACTTTTAACATTTGAACGGGAGATAGATCACTTTGACACTTTGGTGTCTATCTTTTAAATCACTCCATACAAAGAAACGAAGGTAAAATCAAAATTGGTACTTGAAGATTTTCGCAACAGAAAAAGACCTCAGGCATCATTAGCACTCACTGTGGCGCAATGTAAAACACATACTAGCAGAATCATGATGTATAATCCTTATCAGGTCCTCCCATCTTGGTTTTTTGACAGGATCATATACAATAATGTCGGGGAATTAATGGGATAAAAAAATGCCTTTTTAAATGGTTTTTATCTAAAAATTTCTCATTTGTGTCAGCTTATAATGTAAGTGAATATAATTCTACTTCCTGCGAAGTTGATACCGTCATTCAAACCAAACATGAATAGAAACCAAGAAAATTGAAATTATTTCTTTTTCCGTGAAGACAATATCTAAACCAAACTAAACATCAATTGGCAGAAAAAATCTTTCCCTAAGCCTACAAATAAGCTTCCAAAGCACACTTCAGCCTTATTTACTTCTCAGTCTTACACATAACACTGCATTTATAATCTTCAATATCTATTGGATGGTATGACTATTTGGTTTTCCACTTAGGTTCAAAGGTTATACCCAAACAAAATGGATGATTAAGAAATGAAAAATCTGTGTTAGATCATCTTGAACAATGAACAACACATTAGCAAAGAATCTGTGAATAAAGTTGAATATTTGAAAAAGTAAAATATTTTACATATTTGTATGTCAAATTTATTTACCATGTCAAAAATAACCATTTATGATGTATTTTCAAAAGGGAGGTAACTGTGCAAAATTATAGAGATTAGTCAGAAAGAAGTACTTTCTCTTTTACTTCAGAAATCAGAAAGTTTGTTCATCACAATTGGACATCTTCAAGTGTTTGGAAGCTGATCAGTATGGACAAGGTGACAACTATAGACAGGTTAACAACACAAACAAGCTAGGAGATAGTTATCAAAATCTGCTTACATTGTTTGATTGGCTCTGCGATGGTTTTAGTGTGAGGTTGCGAGGAAGGGAGGCCTGGGCGCGATTCTGACACACACGCTCACATGCACGATCGTGGACGATATAGACACAGAATTCTTCAAACTCGTCCTCCTTTAGATTGCTGGAGTCCCATCCTTCCTCCATGTCTGTAACCAAACACAAAAATGCAATTAAATAGAAATATTCTATAATCAAGGACATATCAATTTCTTCATCAGCCGCTTATAAACAATTACATTTTATGTAGATATTAATTTCAAGTGGTGACATACCTATTCATGTTTGTTATCGCATACTCATATGTAACGGGATTGAAGCAGGATATAGGAAACACTTTCATCAAATAGGTAGATTTTCTTAGCTCTATTTACATCCTTGCATCATCCGAAAGGTTTATAAACTAATTCTGAAATTTCTATGATAGACCTAACTGATTTTTGTCAACGGGATGACAAAATTGCCTCGTATCTTTCCAGTTACTTCAGTTTTATTAATAGAAAAAGAAAAAAAAAAATGTTTTGAAAGTTTGATGTGAGAAAGTTGTGGGGTTAGCTACACTAGTAAATGATTTTACTTGAAATTTGAAACATGTTTTAAGTTTATCCTTCAACTAGAAACAGTTTTAAGAAACTATAAACCTGTAGATTTGAACTATCCCTCGACTGGTTTTTATGACTGTTTGATAGACTTGTTTCCATTTCTGCTAATAAAACGTTTCCGTGATTTGAACAAGATTGGGATATATCTGTCAATCTTTTGTGTACATCTGTAGACGAGATGAACATTATGAATGGAAAAGATGTCTCGGTACCAAATCTTTCAGGCCACACTAATAGGTTTTTAAATGAATGGATAAATTTGTACAAATTTGAAAATCCTTGAAATAATCCTACATGAAGCTTTACGCTCAGGAGGAATGAGAATAAGAAAACAAGACCCCAAACTTTCAAAGAAAAAAACTACTATCACTTGTAGAAATCTATGACGAGGTAAGTGCTATTCTTCAGGCTGTACAGCAAGCTATACAATAAAGATAAGTCTAGCTGATCAGCTAGAACTTTGAAGTGGCAGAAGAGAAGATGAAAAGAGCGGGATTTTTCTATTTGATGCACACAGTGCCTATCTTCTATGATTCCTGCCGAGCTGAAAAGTGGCCAGCTATCTTCATAAGCAAACACTTTCAAACAAACAAGCAAATATAGAGGCTTGCAGTATGGAAACATTCAAGTACGGGTATGTATATCTTATCACTACGGACAGCGCCACCTTCCCAGGGTTCTAGTATCCTTTGGACTTTCCACCGCAGCTTCACCTGACAATATCAAATCAGAAAAGAGAAAAATAGCTCTAGTCAAGAGGGTCCGTACTTGTTATTTATCAGCAAAAGCACGATTTTTCATTCACTATCTTTTGCACCTCCTATGGAGAGGTCCAAAGAACGCTCGTTCCCTGGGAATCCTGTGCTCAAGATGTAACAGGAACAAGTAAGGGCCAAAAATCCACGATGGCCACAAACACTTGGTTACCTAGGGCAATGACACTTCAAGGTTAAAACACAAGTTGTTTTCTTTTAAAACAACACCTAACCTGTGATATGTTTGTCAAGTTTGAACAACAAATATTTACAAGTTTAATTCATTTATTTACATATCTTTTTCATAACAAGATGATAATTTTTGCTACTTGTTTACTTAATTTGATTTTGAATAACAATGCTCTGTAAGTGAATATAGTTATATCCACAAAGAAATGTCTTTATCACCAAAAATCTGATACTGAAGTTCTCAAATAAATAACTTTAAAAGAGGAAAAGTTGAATAAATTGAATGAAATCGTATCACATTACATTTGCACTATTATTTTTCCAGTCTCATTCGCAAATTCTAATGCAACAGTTCTTTATTAACTGTTTCACAAAAGAATTCGTAGAACATGATAAAAAAGTCAATAATTTATTCATTAAAGTTATCCACCAAGACCATAGGAGCATACTCAGGTTTGCTTTAATTTTATGTACAAAAGAAAATGATTTAAGAGTTCTATTATATATATCTTACAATCAGATTTTGGTATAATTTCATTAAGTTACAAAATCTTAAAATCTAAATAAAGGTTGATATTTGTTGAAAAGGTTTTGAATTATTAGAAAACAAAATTAGAAGAAATCTTAAGTCACTTGCATTTTTAAAAGGTAATGAACGCTTGAAAACAAATGAATATAAATTACTACAAATGTAGGTTTTACATTCAGTTTTCATAAATTGTCGCTGGTTATACTCAAGAGGTCAAAAGACTAAGACTGGTGACTTAACAGTTGATATGCATGGCTCCGTAAGATTACTACATATCCTATCCTGTCTGTGTGGAGCCTCTGTGGGGCTAGCACGCCGCTTGCCTGCTCCGCAAGATTGCGGACTGACAGAAACTCGCAGGCGGCCTTCAGTGGGTGAACAGGAAGCACAAATGCCGTGGTGATGTTGAAAGCTGATAACTCCCCCACACCATGCTGAGGGAAAAGCCAATAGGATGTACCAATAATATTTATGATAAAAATGATGTTTTTATTTCAATTTTTCTACTTGATTTGTTTCATCCCCCTGTTTCTTTCAATGAAGTGTTGATAACCATGTCAATGTGATATCTCCTCTGATTCCGGCCAAAATCCTAAATATAATCTCATGGGTTAATTAAGACTGTTTATCTCCCCCTAGTAAAATTAAATTACAGAGTATTAAACATATACTCTGATATCTTTGTATATCTTTAAAGCTATGATTTATTTTAAACTACTGTCATTTGAAAACACTACAGTATTTTTATTTTGTTTAAACGTTCTTAATTTGTATATCCACTGTTGACCCATATTTAAACATTCACTCTAACACCTTAATGCCAATTGTTTAAAATGATTTATAAATCAACCAGTCATAGCCAGTACAATAAAAACTCATGATATCACAAGAATATATTTCAACAGAGTTATATATAATTATATATATATTTATTTAGGACAGATAAAAAAATGTGGCATATTTTCAGCATAGAAAATGAAATGCAACATATATTCTGCATGGAAAAAGTGAAAAGCAGCATATTTTCAGCACAGAAAATGAAAGGCAGTTTATTTTCAGCATAAATAACAAAATGAAACATATTTTTATCCCAGAAAAACAATTACAGCATATTTTCAGCACAGGAAACAAAAAAGTAATGCAGCAGATTTTCAGTGTGGAAAACAGAATACAGAATGTATTCAGGTTAAAAAATGCACTGTATGAACAGAGGTCGTTAAACCTAAAAAATGACATATTTTAACCAAAATCAATTGGTCTCACATTTATCAGATTGCACACACCCAAATAATTACTATTCTCCTGTATAATGCTTCCAACTTCAGACATGAAACGATAGATTAAGCACCAAATTAAGTGAACATAACTAAAACTGTCAGATATTGGCAACAGACTTTTTGAAAGTAATTCATCAATGATGAATGATATATTTTATCTATTGTTATAACAAAGACTCCCTATCTTACGTCTTGGCAAGCTATATAACAAATACAGGACAAATGGAAAGCTAAATGATAAGTCAATTTCATATCAACTTATCACATTAAAAAGAAAATTGAAAAAGGACAAATTACTATCATTAAGATGCTTAATGTTGAAATGCAGAAAAATCTATAGTAACCCTGGTATTGAATCTTTAATACCAATTAGAACTGTATAATACAACAGAAACTGGTGTCACAGATTGGCTTACAATTAGCTTTTCAAATGTCATTGACATGCTTGTAACAGATGGAAATACACATAGCGAAAAACCTCACTTCACGTTTCATTTCAATTAAGAACATCATTAGGTTTATCGTGTTAATCTTCAACTTTACGTTTGTATTTATTTTCAGTAAAATTTTGAACAACACATGCTTATTAATCAATAAATCTAACCGTAGAACCGCTTCTTTAAGCAAGCTTCTGTAAATGTTTTTTCAGCTAACTATCTCTAGCTTAGTAAAAATACATTTGGTATAAGATATTCTGTTTAAGGATGAGAAATAATTTGTTCAGGATGATCTGCCAGCTTGTATTATGAAATCTGACCATCCTATCATTTGTGGCGATCAACAATTACATTGTGGTTACAAGCAAACAATGGAAAACAAATATGTTGTTGATGATGGAGATTGTCACACAAACCACTTTAACAGTCATTCTTTACAGCTTGTCGTTAATGTGAAACACGGAGACCAGACAACAGAGTCAGACATCAGCTTACTAATCTATCAGTTAAACAATTAAGCTTTGATCTGAATAATGAACCTGTATTTTGAATTCTTTCTTATTAAATATATCAATTTTTTTCCTTTTTATTTTCAAATTAAATTAAATTTTAAAGTAGAATGAACTTCTGTGGTAAAGAACTTATCAATTTGGAGACAGATATTTAAAAAAAATTGTCCTACCTTCTGGAATCATTCTCCGTCTCTTAATACCATCCCAGAACCTCATAGCTTACAAATTTACCCTCCGTTTGCAATACTTTATACTGATCTTTTAAAGATGACTTTCAAATTCCATTCCGATATACATACATTAAGTGTTGAAATTTAATAAGTCATTTTACTTAATAAACTTTTAAAGATACATGATATATATATATATATTTTATGTTCGTTTTCTCAACATGCACTGACATATTTTTTTGGAAGACTGCTTTCAATCGAAGCGATACAAAGTAATAATCATTAAAATTGAAAATAACCTTCCTTCTTTTCAGAGAGTTATCACAAGTCTGCGTCAAACATCATTGAACATGACTTACTCGTGTGTGTTGCAATGAATTTTTCACAGGTGTAAATGGCAATTAATGTAGATACAGTTCATCCTATCCTATGTTTGAAAGTAGATTTAATAAAGAAAGTTTACCTGTTAGATCATGTATGATCTTACATACCAATAAACATCGCTAAGTAATCTTCGAAAATCACATGAAAACCAAAGGTATACATACTCATTTTATATAGCGTAAATCATAATCTATTTAGAATGTAAGGCGGGAGAAATTTTGTTCAGCCAAGCATACCGTTAGAACCTCCTCATGCCTCTACTTAGAATTAAGTGCCTATTAATCGTTATCATCC